GTTTTGACTGAAACCCTAGCAGCTCAGCTATTTAAGGGACCCCAAGGCTTCAGTTTCGGCTACACCAAGAAACCCTAAGGTTATTATAGCTGAAATTCAGCCTCTCTCCTTCTCTCTTCTAGATCATCCTCTTGCTTGTGGTGTTTGTGAGCCATTACAGGTGTTACACTTGTGACACTAAGCTTCTTGAAGATTGAAGATTCTTGCAACTATTGAAAGGTATCATCTAAATTGTTTTGTTATAGATCTCGATTTCAATGTATGCTAGATTAGGGTATTTAAGTCTTGGATGAATTGCATGTACAATAGAGAAACCTAGATCCAAGCTTTAGGGTTTTGCATGAGCACATAGGATTGTTCTTTTGTATAAAACCCATCACATACGACTACACTCACATGTACTTGATAGAGATCAAGTATTAGATCAACTTGCATTTAGAGATTACTTCGCGAACCACGTCACAAATAATCCTAAAGGATAATATATGACATCCTTAAAATGGATATGCTTACGATTCTTAACTCATAGTCTTTTGTGCTTTGGAATTCTCCAACATTGTTTGTAACATACAGTCATACATGGAAGGTTCATGTGTGGCATGATGAGTGGGTAAGGGCTATATATTTGATGTTTATTTGTTCCTTCTGACATGGGGTACAAGCGATATCCTTAGTCCCCATTGATGATTTAGTGTTGACACTAAATGCATGGTTACTCACAATATATTGATATTGGATCGATTTTGAATTCTATATTTATGGTCACCACGAATCTTTATTGGGAAATAAAATACTGAATGTTTTAGATTGGCATCATTCCATGTATCACATTCATATCGATATCAAGAAAAAATGGGTATTTGGTTGTCATACCATATGCTACTTTTGGAGTGATGTTATACAATCATTGTGTCATGGGCTAGTAGGAGTCTATTAGAGATATACACACTGACACAACAAGGTGATAACACTACTAATAACACATAGGAATATTGGGTTGCACACAATGTGTAATCTAAAATAGCAAGAATAATAAATATGGGGATTTTTTTGTTATTCATCAATAGTTTGATGGTTTAATTATAAACTATAAAAAAGGAACTTGATTAGCAAATAGGCATATTTGAATTATGAGTAGATAATTGAATAACAAGCAATTTACGTTTGATTAGATACGAAGTTTGCAAATTTTGTTTGTAAGCCGATAATTAGGAAAAAGATATATAATATGCTATATATACATATAAAAATATATATTATAGGTATATTGTTATATTGTTTTGTAGGCGAATAAGTAGTAAACTTCTTTTGTTTTTAATTACGGTCCCAAGTTGCTTGATATACAAAAAGTTTATGAGTTCTCTTATCTACAAAGATGGTGTGCGTCCCACATCGTCTGGTGGTAAGAAAAATGGTGGCTTCCTTACTTTATAAAATAAGAGGAGGCTTGCTTGTCTCTTACAAGTTTCACAAATGGCCCAATATCAAGTGGGTTGCTTTGAAAAGGCTTGATTTCGAGTTTAAAGAGTTTATTCTAAAACTTGTTTTGTAAACAATTTGAACTAAACCTGTTAAACGATGGTTTATTGCTTGAACTAGTATGAGATTGAGATTGATTGAGTACTGATTTTCACTAGTTACTAGAATTTTTAAACTGGGTACATGATACCGGAACCGGTACCGGCGATTCCAAGACCGGTTCCAAAATTCAAAGAACCGGTGTAATTGGTTTCAGTTCCAACATTTCAAGAACTGTCGGTTCCGCGGTTCCGATTCCGCTTCTGGTTCGGTTCCATGCAATTCGTCTTTATACAATGAACATATGTTAGAAAAAAAGGTTATTTGACTTAGGTTATGAAAAAGGTTATTTGACTTAGGTTATGATATGATCAGTAAGGGAATTTTGGTCTAGTAATCCATGTGTTAACTAAAGGGCATTCATCTTGGAAGGTGTTGTTACGTTGCTAAGATATCAAGGTGAGTTTGTCGAGAGCACAAGTCTCCATATTATTCACACTTGATGTTTGATTTTACGTTTGAACTATGCTTTTTCAAACATGGATTACTAGACCAAAATTCCCTTACTGATCATATCATAACCTAAGTCAAATAACCTTTTTCATAACCTAAGTTTTATATATATATATATATATATATATATATATATATATATATATATATATGAAATTGATTTCATTTGATCATGCGTATTGTTTCCTTATTTGCTATGTGTGTACCAACAATCATTTTTTTATGTCTATTGCTTCTATAAACTATATACATAGTACATAGTTTTGAAATGGTTTTGAACATCTTACTTGTTGCGTACATGCTAGGATGGGTGGACCGAGAGATCTTGGGTACCCAAATTAATAGTAAGTCGTGTTAGTCGTTGTGAGTAGATTTCTAGATAATCTTTATGTACACAAGTATGGATCGCTACCCTTTGTGTGGCCTAGTGGGATGGTTCACTAGGGCTTAGTATCATGAGCAAAAAGGGAGGGTTACTTATGGGCTCGATTATTAACCATCAGTTTTGGTGAGTTTGGACTTTATGAGAATGGAAAGGATTCAGAATAGTTGCATGCATTACATATTATATTGTGTTATATTTCGCATTTACCCTTTTGGAGGTTTGATATGAGTTTGTAAATCTTTGCTAACCAATGTTTAGACTTTCAGATATGTTTGGATATATGGGTTATATAATACCCTTATGTTTTGGTTTGGGTCCTTGGAACCTTAATTTAATTTGTTTAGGATACTTTTTAAAATATCCTTTGTTTTGGATTATAGAATAAAATTTTCTTGTTATAGTTTATCGTTAGTAAGCCATTGACATTGGATTCGGTTATTACTTTTTATGGATAAGATTTTTGAATTTTTGAACTCTTGATTTCGATTTATGGCTTTTATATCTTTCAATCGAATATAGGTAAATCTACCCTTTCCCTTTGTTATTTGAGTCGGAGTTCTCTATCCTTTGGTTTATTGATACTTATGGAATTTAATGATTTTATATTAAATTTAAAGGTTTGATTTGAGTAAGTTAGGTAACTATCTTGGTACTCAAAATGAATCAACATCGGGTATTCTCACTAGGCAATTCAGTCGTCCAACTTATTTTGACTTGTGCTCAGATCAAAGACTTAGACGTTGCTTAGAAGATAGTGAAGATATTTTGAAGGGCCTGAGTTTGTGAAGTTGCATTTGACATTGTGATGATTATTAAATTGATCACTACCTCACACTTCTACCTAAAACTTTATATTTTTTATACTTTGGGACCTAATTCGCATAAAAATGATTTTAAGTATTTTAAAATATATTGGACCGTATTTTCCGCATAAATTGAGATAAAAGAAATATATCTTTTTTATATAAAATCAAATGATTTAGTAAACATTTTTAAAACTACCCTAACTAGCAAGGGGTGTTTCAAATTACTAAGTAAATGATACGAACCCATCCCATATCATGCATGTATTAAGCCAACTTCAGGTGGTGCAGTGTTGCATAAAATAGTCTACATAGTCGATTAATCGCCGCCTAGACACTAGTCAACCTCTACTCGATGACGTTTTGTGCTAGTCGGCCAACTTAACCGGTATTGGTCAAATATGGTCAAAGTCGGAGCTAGGCGGTCCTAGGTGGTCCTACGTGGCCTAATCAGACAAAGACAGTAAAAAATAATTCATGGGAAGAATTGTCAAAAATGGTCCCAAAATGGTTAAACTCTTAATCTATAATTCCAAAGTTGTTAAACTCTTAATTTATTTGTAGTTAGTGATTATTAAGCATTTTGTTTAATCGAATGGTTCTGATAATAGTTGACAACCAATGACATCTAGTTTATAATTTTTTTATGTTTATTTACTTATATTATTATGATATTTGTAAGATTTATTAATTATTGAATAAAATTTTTAATAATTTAAGGTCTCTGATTAATCCCCGCCTAGACTGATCAATCCTTTAACCTCAGTCGATCGGCTAGCTAACATTTAGCGTTTTTTACAACTTTACCCAAGTGTAGAACTCACTCCAAAAGCTTGTTTGTAGGAGGGGACACCTGGACTTATAAGCTACCCACTTAATTTAATTTCGACCGATGTGGAATCGTAAAATACCCTACCCTTTGAAGAGTCAACGTCCATGACTATGTTGGTCACAACTGGCAACCCCTTTTCGGTCCAAGCGACTCGTCCATAGGCCACCACTCTGAATCATTATTGTCCATGGCTACATTGGAAACGGTTGGCACCCCTTTTCGGGTCCAAGCCACTATTTTGTAGGCCACCACTCCACATGTTGGAACCATCAATAGATGGGGATGACTCTGATACCAACTAACTAACTGATACAAACCCACCCCACACTAGGATTATATCAAGCCATAAACCTAAGTGTAGAACTTACTCCCAAAATTCAGCTTGGAGGAGGAAGGGACACCTAGACTTATAAGCCACCAACTTCATTTACTTTTGGCTGATAAGGGATCGTAACAGCAAATAAGTTTAAACATAGAAGTTCATATCCATTATGATCATTCTAAAGTGTGTTACCTAAATTAGACTTTTAGTTAAAACTTCATATAGTGGTTATTTTTTATTTCCAGTCTTGTTTAGTTCAATAACAATTATGTTTTGTAATTCAATCTTCTGTACATTTTATGTGGTTTGGTGTTTTTATCATATTTGCATTGATGATTTCCACTTGTTGCAGTTAACTCCTCTTAGTTTTAAAGTTGGAGATTGTTATTTGAATTCGCAACAGAAAGTGTATGCTGCTCATATTGTTTCCATTGGCTTCATCATCTTCATCCACATCAACTTTGATCTTTTTTGTTCTTTTTGGGAAAGGAACTTTAGTATTATTAGTGTTTAATGTTTTTCTTTGAGTAAATCGACCTGGATTTGTACAAAGGAAATACTATGAAACAGGCTAATGAATATGGTTTAAACAAACATTCGGATGATGGCAAAAATAAATCAGAGTACCTTGCACCAAACGAGGGAATAGATGAAATATATGGCTCTGTTGGAAAATGATGATGTTTCAAAGCTGTACACCAAAACCTGCATCTAGTAATCAATATAGTACTAGTCAACGGGTCATTATTGCAAGATGATTTATCATTTGCACAACTTTCTTTCATTTACCAATTCATACTTACAGTTTTTCTTTCTTTCATCATGGTTACACTACAAGATGTTTTTAATCACAGGTTGGTTTGTGGGAAACTTAAGGCTATGAACACAACTATGAGAAACTAGTTTGTAAACTGTGTACCTGGTCTAAAATGATGGTTATCCTAGGAGAGTGATGGCCAAAAACTTTTTGGTAAAATAGCAGCTAATGCACGTGCATATGTTGGTGGGAGGTTTCTCAATATTGGATGCATTTCTCTACCAAAAAGTGATAATAAGTGAGAGAGAGCCCCTCCTATTTGAATTTTAACTTCACGTGTTTCGAGTGGTGACATGGCTGCCTCTGCAAATACCATAACCAAATCCGGAACTAGCTCAAGGATCTGTTTCAATAATTGGTAGTATGATCATTTTCTTATTTTATATGTATATTTCGAGTGGAAGGAGAACACATTTTAAACAAGTACCTGTTGGTTGGATGATAAAACAAGGTTGCAAATGCAGTTATAAACAGGGATGGATTCCTCATAATCTTTTTTCAAAGGAAGAACTTTGAGGAGTATAGGGAGGACCTGATATAGTGGGACAGAGTTCTGGTGGGCCATAATAATCTTTGCAACTGCACTAGCTGCATTGTCCCTTACTGCATGGTCTTTCTCAGATTCTTCAAACAAGAGAAAGAGACATGGCAACACATCATCCAAGTATCTGATGAATAAGTGAAAGCATCAACTGAGAGATTTGACAACAAAAAAAAACAAACTTTATAACTAGAAGAATCAGAAAATATTTATAAAGGATACTTAAGACCATATTCGCCACCATTCTTGCACATTTCTCCAACACAAAATGCAGCATTCCTCCTATTGGTTGCTGATGGTGAATCTGATTCTCTAAGTACCAAAGGCATTAAAGTCTGAAAAAGGATCTGATCTTCAATTTATTAAAATTTATGGAAACAAACAAAAAAAAAGCCAGAAAAGATTACATTTACATAGGTAGAAAATGCAGTGCCCATATGCTGAGCAACTTCAGCAAGACATGCAACCACCATTGTCCGATCTTGTGGTGAGTCTGATTCTTTCTGCAAGACCCCAATAAGTTTTGAGAAAAGAGTAAAGTTTGAAAATGTTTTGGAAAAGCTCACCAAGAAATCCATTAGTGGATCAAATAGAGGTTCAAAGAAAGGTGCAAAGTCGGAACCCATGGCCTTGGAAAAAGCAGGAAGAAGATCTGTAACAGCATCCATGAGCATTTCACTATGTCCATGAATATGATCATCATCTTCAATATCAATGCCAGATTTTACTTTCTGACATACTGAGTTTTGCCACAGCAATGCCACAGTTGACTCCACAAGCTTATGCATGTCTGAGTTTTAAAATTTAAAACAAATGAGAATGAGGACATTTGAGAAGTTAGTAAATCTAAGAACAATTAGTGTATGCAACTCATAAAAAGAAATTAAATAATAAAAGTTTTTACGAGATTCAACTGCAACATATCCAAAATCCTTGGTGATCTGTGCTACACTCATGCAAGCTTGAGCAACCACATCCTTGTCATCATCTTCATTCATCGTCTTGATGTAAATTTTCATCACAGAATCTGGACATTTTGATACATTTTAAAAGATCAAGTGACTAAAAATTTGTTTTATCTTTAAAAAAAAATCATCACATAAAAATCCCACAAGGGATTAACAATAATGATATATGAACTTACCAAGAATTTGTTTTTTCTGGGATTCTCCATCCTGCAAAGGTGAATGTAAGCATTGGATGGTCAAAGGTCAAAATATTGCATCAGAAGATGGCTTAGACAAATAACATAGCTTCTTCATTCGTATGCAAAAGAAAATAACTAAAATAACCAAAACCATTTCTAAAAAGAATGATGGGTTATGAAGTACACACTTACATCATGACATTGTAAGCAGGCATGAGCAGCTGTTACAGTATCTACAATCAGAAAGCAACTGATTTTCAGAGATGGAAGGAACAGCCATTCTTGAAGAGAATCATTTGTGACTTACGTTTCAAACCAGCCATGGCCTGAAGTCGAACATTTTCATGGAAATAGATGGAATGCTTCACCATAATCTTCAGGGTCTCTTCCAAATATCTTGAGGTAAATAGGAAATTACAGTTCTAGCCTTCTAGATAGATTCTGGTTAATTATATTGACACAGTAAGATAGAAATAAGTGAAAAGGATACGGGTCATAGGCACTCTTTGTATGAAAGGCGATTAAACCAAGGGCTTGAGTTGCAGCAGCCTTTTCATCTAAAACACCAGTTCTTATATTGATATTTTGTACTCTAGGTTCATCTTGGGATTCATCATCAGATGAAACTGCAGCAAATCCAATAAGATCTTCATCCTCATCAGAATCATCAATTTTATCAGCAAATCCATCATCAAGATTGCAAGAAGAGAGTGCCAAAGGTACAACATATGGAAGATACTGCGTACAATAATACATCAAGTCACACATCAAAACATTTTTCAAACTTTTAGAAAATAATCCACAATGATTGCATACCTGAACCATTCCATCTGCCAAAATTTCTGCAACATTGCTAAAAAATCCATGAGTATACTCACGAAGTGTACTACACTCCAACCCATACCCCTAATATGTTAATAAGTCAAAGCACTTCAGACTAGTGAATATAACTTATTTATGGAGATAATGATAGAGTTATTACGGAAATTGCAGCTTCAATAAAAAATGGTAAAACCGATTCCATTTTGTCCTTTCCTGCAATCATTGCAACTATCCCCACCAATTCAGTAGCCCTTGCGCGTGAACGCAGCTCCTCTTCATTTGTAAGCACCATGAAAGTTTTCATCAGTTCCAGAACCCTTTCAACATATGGGAGAAATGCTTTCTGGGTAGCAGATGCAATTGAACTAATCGCAGACTGGAAAAATTGAAAAGAAGTTTGATAAGTTCATTGACAGATATAAGTAAAGCATGAAAGATGTGTCATTACCAAACATGTTTCGTGTAACTTTCTTGGACTATTTTGGAGAGCAACAAGTAGTTTCCCCATCAGAGGATCAATAAACGGGATGATTTCTTCACTCATGTTCTCACAAAATGACGCCAATGCATAGTATGATTTCTCCTGCAAAAAGAACTATGTTATTGAGATTTGTTGAAAAATATGAGAAAGAAATTTGTCCCACAATGGCAGAGTGTAAAAAGCTGGAGTAGGTTCCATGCATATAATAGGAATCATGGCCAGGGTGTCACTTAATACACTTTTAAGTTTCTTTTCTTTTCTTTTATTCTCATGTTGGTAAATCCTTGGAAAGTATGGGAGTACTTGGGAGGATTGGTGTGAAAACGAGTTGTAACGCGCGATTTTGAATTGTAACAATCAAAACAACCGTTGGCAAACGGTTAAAAACATAAATAAATAAATAAAAATTATGTTTTTTACATTTTAATTTTTACCTATAAATATTATATTTATATAACATTTTACCTACACCATTCTTCTCTTTCTCTCAATATATTCAAAAATCAATTCCTTTTTCAACCAAATATGGAGAAAAACCCAAACGCCTCTTCATCAAACACAAACTCACAAACAAACACATCTGCTCCGATCGGTTTCGTGCAATATGAGAGCTACATGAACCTCCTTGACACTCAAAACTCACCACAAATATCATTTCAAGGAAACTATTTTAATCCCACCTCACCTCAATGCAACTTCCTACATTACCCTACATGCAACAAAACCCAAACCTACAACAAAACATTTTCAATAATTTTTCTTCCATGCCACAAACAACCATCCAACCACCACCCACACAACCATCGCAAGATACGGTTGCCGAAACACAACTGGGAGGTAGTAGAAGAGGTAGAGGGAAAAGGGAAAAAGAAAGAGAAAAGAAAAAAGAAAAGAAAAGCGATCATGGAAAGTGAAGAACTTCCACTATGGTGGACACCGAAGGAGTACGCTTTGGTGGTCGCGTGGTGCAGGACTTCCAAAAATGAACTTAATGATAAGGAAATTGGTTTTTGGGGAGCCGTGCTTGAAAAATTTCACACACGTATGAAGAAACCTCCATATCACAATACCGATATGCTTAGTAGCAAGTTTAATGGAATCTACAACAAGCTTGTTTCGCAAAAGCAAAGTGGTGTCAACGATTTCGATTTGTTTAGAGCCGCGAAGGAGCAATATCGCGTTGAAATGGATCATGTTTTCGAGTATGAAAAGATATGGGAGATTGTGAGAAAAGATCCAAAATGGATTAAAACTCTAACATTGTCGGAGGTACAATAGAAGAGGTCTCACAATTCGAGTTCGTTTGACATTTCCGACACACAAACTAACATCGACCTCAACACCGACACCGATGAGATCTCGCAATTAGAGGCACATGGTTTTTCTCCGGTTTTGGAGTTTTCCACATATACTTTTTTGTTCATTTTTCACTATCATTTTTTAGTGGACGGATTGTTGGGATCTTTGAAACCATTTTCCCAACATATGTCTCTGTTTGTTTGTTTGTTTGTTTGTTATATAGGACATGACTAAATAGAACGGGTTGTACTATGTTTGTCTTGGAGGGAGTGATGTCAACTAGACCAAAATTTTAATATTTTTTCCCTCCCAAAAAGGGGAAACAAGGACGTGCTCTTGAATCTCAATCCCGTGTTTGTGCAAAAAACATGATTTCCCTCCTCATCCTCATGATCAAAAATATCCCTAGAAAGCTTGTCTAGTTGTGTCCAGTTATGTTCTATGTAACAACCACAACCTCAAAACAGGTCAAATTTATGATCTTAATATATACCTTCACATCATCAGATGCATCTTGTAAGGAACTAAATATATGAGGGAGAACCACTTCGTAATGCGATATAATTTCAGGCTGAAGATACTCGACAAATTGACCTAACGCGAAAGAAGCAGCTCCTCTTACAATCTCTTCAGGATCTCTTAAAGCCCCAAAGACAATATACAAAATGGGTTCAAGCTTTCCTTTTATCAACTCCAAACAACCCTCTGTGATCAACCCCAAAAGCATCACAGAAGCTTCTCGGAACTTTAGATCAACACTCTGACTGCTTTCAGAAGCAAACTCAAAAGCAAATGGAAAAACATGGTTTGATAACTTCACAGACATAGTATCAAGAACTTCTGCAACAGCTCGATCTGGTGACAGATCATCATTTTCGTCACTATTTATCGCTTCTGTAAGCATGGGGCACATAATATGGAGGATTGGAACTATCAAATCCTGGTCCTTAAGAGAAGTGGATTGATATTTTGCAAGCCATGAAATAATTTGAATAGCCTGATTCATGAAACATATCAATAAAATTAAAACATGTTGAAGACTTAAGAAGGAAACATGTTGATGTTATCCATAACCAATTGTAAGTATGTTGCTAACCTGATAACGAGTGGTGGATTCCAAATTTGAATTTGAGCAAACCTCAAGAGAGAAGTGAACTATGGCTTTCATTGATTCTCCAAGAAGGGGTGCTGGAAATTCAATCAACTCATCAAATATCTCAAAAGCAATTATGGCAATGTCTTCTTCTCCAGAAGCAAGGTATTGTCGTGAGACATGCAATATGCTTGGGATAAATTCGCAAAATTTAACCTGCATTTATATCATAATTAAATTAATCTGAACATTACAAATGCAGGGAATATAAAGACTAACCACTTGAGATTCATCGTGAGTGGCCTCAAGAAAAGCTCCAACTGCCCTGTTCAATAAATAGAGTTTTCAAAATTCTTTACATTAGAAAACATATAATCTCAGTAGAAAGTTTGATATAAAACATTACTTGAGAGCAGCAACTCTAACACTACTCATCTTATCTTGTAGGCATTTGAGTAGAAGTAATTGAAAATCTACAAAATATGGTCGAAATGAATCCCCAAGTGTCTCTGTTAAGGAGCTGAACAGCATCAATGCCACCTGGCATCATGAAGACAGATATAAATATATATACTTTTAGTTTGTCCAAACTAAAACACATGCGAACTGAAGTTCATAGGTAATGTATAAAAAGAAGCACCTCTCTATGATCTTCTTGTGCACTTTGACTACAATAGAATATAAAGGGAAGAAGGTCTGGCCATTGCCCATGTGGAACTGTATACTTTGCAATGATACTTGCTGCATTTGCACTAGCTCGTCTCACAGATGAACTGACAATGCAAGATACCCATAAGAAACAAACATAATCAAATCCATAAATGAAATTCAGAAACAATAATAATTATCATGTAACCTGTTTTCCGTAGCGATGCTTTCAATGAGAGATTGCATGACGACCTGGCGAAGTTCAGGCAGAAGATTGGGCCAATGACCTTTGATCTTCTTACGGAGGAGAACGGCAGATAGCTGTCGGACATTAGGAGTCTTTGCAGTACGTATATGGTCGATAAGTACGGGAACCACCGTCGGATCCCTAACCATCCGCTTGATTTGGTCCTCCGCTTGCCGCCGCGCATCATCGTCCGGCATCAAGAATTGAAGTATTAGAAGCTCCAATGATTGCGCCATTGTTACGTACCTCCCTTGCTATCTTTCTCCCTCTATGTATATCTATATCGGAGAACAGCATTAGGTCTTCTACGAGGACGATTCAGAAATGCAAATGAAACATTTTGCACCAGCGGCGAAAACCACTGCAAATCGACCACCTCTCGCAAAATTCGGTACTCTTGGATCCATGTAACAGCGAATCCGTAGTTTAGAAGAGTAATCAACAACGGTGGTAAAGAGAAGGTAACCGGAGACGCAAAACGACGACAAATCTCGCCAAAAAACTCAGTCGCCGATGAGAGAAAATGGTCAGAGAGAAAGTAGAGAAAGTATGTGTGTGTCCGTATGTTTGTTTAGCTTACCTGGCTTATTTCCATAAAAGACCCTATGTTCTCACTGTTTTTCTTTTTAAACCTAAATTTTTTTTCTTTTCCGAAAAAACCCAACTTTTATATGTTATTTGTTATTTCAGCCCTAGCAGGTCACCAATAGGTAAATTAGGTATTTTTGTTTCATAAAAGACCCTATATTTTGTAGTTGTTTCCATTTTGTACCTAAAATGTTTTTTTTTTCAAAATAAACTCAATTTTAAAATTGATTATAATCTTCAAGACCAAATATATAAGGTACTTGTTGACTACACCGAAAAAGAAAGTATACATGTATACATTAAAAATGTTATATAATCTATTATCTTTTGAGCGAATATAACCTAAAAGAATTGCAAAATTTTATTTTTGTCTAAAAGATATAATTAAACTTTATCTTGGATATATATTATATCATTAAACATGATATATTGTTTATAGAAAATGTTATTATTACCGATAATAAAAAGTTTGATGTTAATTTGATATTTTTTGGTAACATGGATAATACATGGCTAAGAAGAATCTTTTAGCATAATAACAAATTTTTTTATTTGTAAAAAAAAGACCATATAATTTAACAAACTGTATAAAAAATAATTTTTTTAGTTTGTCTATTATACGTATTTGGTGAGTTTGGACATATTTCCTTCTCTCACTTTTCTATATTATTTTTTTGGCCGAATTTTTTAATCAATTTTTTTGAACAGTTAACAAACACACTCACTATCATACTCCTAAACCAAAGTCATAGAATATTTTGTAGCATTAGCCCATTATTAAATAATCTGTTATAATTATATCAAATAAATACATAAAAATATTAATCCTAAACATTGTATTAGTTTTGTTTAGATATATGAGATTCAAGTTTAAGACTTTCTTAAAAAATGTTAACATCACATATGAATACATAAAAATTATATTTTGGGAATGAAACAGTTTGAACATAAGTTGAAAATTCAAATAACAAGAATGATACCGCACACTTAAATATCAAAATAGTATGGTTGGAATGTGGTGAATGAGCAAAACTGACAAAACTATGAAATTTTATTGTAGAGAAAAGAAAATTGAATAGTTGGACTACCACCTCATTTTATTGATCTATCTTATGTATACATGGTGTTTAGATCAATACATGGTGTTTGTATATCACTTTTATTGAATCTTAAGGATAATCATAATAATTACTAAAATAAAATTTAGGATTTCATTTTAATTTGAAAGGATATACTCACGTTTTTATGCATGAACGAAGTTAAGCTTCATTAAATCGGTGTAGTTAAGTACCTTATACAACTAGTGTTAAAGG